AAAGGCGAGTCGGGGGGAATATATTCAATAATTTATGGGAGCGTGGCGACGGTCCGTGACCTCGACTGTCTGCGGCAGGATTATTTCGTGGAAAAGATACGGTGCAGATTCGAGCATGCGAGCAGAACGCGTGATTTGCACAGTGCGGACAGATCTAACGAGCGACTGGAGGTGCGGGCGAGCGCTCCAATGGGGCGTGGCCACACACAAAGCGATGGCTATCTCCAGCGGCACGAAGGGCACGTGACCGATTGAACAGGTGTTGGACGCCACAGCTCAACTGAATTCAAGGTGAGCTCAGGATCGACGTTTAAGTTAATTTTGTTTGTTTGAAAATGTTTTGAAGATCCAAACCAAAAATTAGAAATGTTGACAGAGGAAGAAGGAATTAATTTTCCTGTGTATGGGTACACACGCATAGGATGCTGGTTGCCAGTGCCTAATGACGTCACACAGCAGTTGGATTGCGCCATGATATCAAATGGTTGCCATCAACGAACGTTCGCCAAAAATTATCGGCGTTCAGTCGTCAAAAGCGGGCAGTGGTGGAACTCGGGGGACTTTCAACGCGCTGGCTGCACCCGCTGCTTCTCAGTAGAGTAGCGGCTTTGGTGCATGAGTTCACTAGATTCGAAATGGATGTAGTATTTTTTTTATTTCCAAGGTGTTTGTGAGGCCCGCTGTGTGGAATAAAGAGATAACCGACGCGCGAACAAATGTGGTAAAGTGCTGGAAAGACATTTCTGCGTATATGAGCAAGTATCAAACAAGTCATGTTAGAAGTTTCATTTGAGTGAAACATTAATCAGTGGAATCAATAGAAACGAAATTAAAATACGTTTCCAGAAGCTTTTACAAATTTATATGAGTAAACATAATTAGATGATTAATTGATTTTACATGAATTTAAGAAAAAGATCTTCCATAGGCACGGTCGGTCCTTGTAACGTCATTGAATCCAATTGAACTGCGTCAATTTGATTATCAATATAAATATATATCAATAATATTAATAATTATCAATAGTTTTGTAAAACACACCGCTCTTTATATTGTCTAAAATTAACATAAGTGTTTATCATTTTGGTTATTGTCTCTATTTTGAATACAATTTCAACAACCTATTTAGTAATACACCTCTCTAGTTACATATTTTTATTTATGTTATATGTTTTTCATAAAAACTGCATTTTCGTCTTGGCTGCCACTGGCAATTCATTGTCCGCAGTCCGATCTCTACCTCGCACACGCGTGGAAATGGAGTATTACCCAGAAAATAAAAAGTACCCAATTTACGCAATTAGACTGCTTCTTTTTATTTCTGGCTTATTTTTTCTGAACAAATATATTTATTTATGTTGTAAATAATAAACAATTTACGTTTTTGGAGTGTTTCTATGCATCTCCAATGAAAATTTTTGGCTACAAAGCATTTTCTTAAAACTAACTTTAGAGTACTTATCGCGGCTCAGCCTTTCTGTATATCCTGATAGCTTAGAGAAAATATGCTTAAAATTGTCTTAAAAGCTTACTTTTGAATTTTCAACGTTTCCTCCGACCTACGTACTGATGGCTCTGCGAAACGGCCGACCTACGTACCTAAGGGTCGTGCAGTCAGATCGAATGGATGGTTCAAAGCTGTGGCTTGGATGTGTACGGCATGGAAGTCCCAAACTGTGCCTGCGCCATGGAAGGCAAGAACAAATTAATACATGTTCCGTAATACCATCCGTATCATACTAAAGAATTAATGCATAGCAAGTGTTCTGTAGCAGCAATAGCCGATCAAACTACTTAGTGGCATTCTAAAGCTTCTCACGAAGCAATTAATACTTGTAAATATAATGAATGGAATGAAAACTTCTTATAAGATAGATTTTAATCGCCAAGATTATTGTAATCCGAGCCATCTTGCTTTGCAAGTTTGTTGAAAATATGAATAATATTGTGTACTTGAGTATTGGATAGATGAACTGCTTACTATACTTATGTAATCACTTCGAAAATTCTCGTTCATCGACAATAGTTAATGTTATATCAAATGAAAATTGTTTTTGAATCTTTTAAAATTTTGATTGAAATTTTGATTTGATTCCGGGCAATTGATTTCGCTGGACGAGGTAACACGTACCTTAAGTCCACTGCAAAATATTACTTTTATGACCACTGGTGCATGTCTAAGCTCTGGAACATTATCTTTCAAAATATCTCTCAGTAAGTGATTGTTACAGTTAATTTCTCCAGCTAGTATGATGAATACTTTATTAAGGAAAGTGAATATTCTTCACATACAATTATAGGTTTTTCATAGTTAGAAAACAAATCGTTTTATTGAATTATCTTTATGGTTGAAAATACATAACAGTAAATAGTAGTTTCAACTATTGGATTGCACTGCACTCTAACCCTAAGTATTTATGCATTGAATAAAAATAGAATAAAATGGTCATCTTGCTCTATGAAAGAGAATTTCGTTATGAAAAGATTGATTACTATATTCCCTGCATTTTATATTAAATTCTTTAAATGGTTAAAGAAAAACTTCATAAAAAGTTGCAGCCTTGGAGGATATATGGTTCTCGCACAATGTATCCAATTACAGGAATTATTGCTAAGGACGAGCAGTAAATAAATCAGTGAAAAGGCAAAAAGACCACACAATTAATTTATCTAATCATTAGTCAATAAGTAAGTCCTGCATCAAATGCGAAGAAAATATCTTGTATGAGGTTCTGGTTAGGGAACCAATTTTCCACCACAAGTTTGTAATATACATAATTCTTTGTTTCTGTACTTTTTTAAGCAAAACAATTGGAAATATATTCTACATCTGAGAAAAACAACAATACTAGAAGTTGTTGGAAGTCTGTGATTATATTTTTAGTAAAACTTTAATTATTGCGATGGTCAATAGCTTACTAAATTACTTGGGTGTAGATGATCAAATACGAGAAAAAAGTATTATGGAGAAATGTATTCAAAATGTTTATCTCATAAAAATCTGCGTTTATTAAAATACTAGAAAACATTTATTTTAATTCCAGGTACAAACTGTCAATGTTATTTCTGAAATGCTTCTCCAGAAAGTCGTAAAGAAGATTAAACTTTATTTCTTCTTATTATATTATGTGTACTTGCTAACATTTGAGTTAACATATTAAGTTATATTTTTTGTGGTCTGGCACTATTTTTTTTAATTTGGAGTTTAATATTAAGATTAAGTTATGAACTTGAACTATTACTCTGATGTAAGTTACACTTCCGCTGCGACAGCAGTGAATATCAACCGTTAAATTAGTGGTCTTATAACAGCACGTACTTTATGCGTTATTTGTAACGGTCACGTGATTACTTTCCTTACTCAAGTTATACTACTTGAACCAACAAAAAAGTTTACTAATGCTGAGATTGTACTTTGTACTTACATTTAGCAATAAATTATGGAAACCACTAGACCAACCGACTAAATTGGAAAAGTAACCTTTTAACAAGAAAGCTCAACATTTACTATTTTCGAAAATTTAGTAGTTAAACGAAACTTAGGCGAATTTGAATAAAAAAGTAAGAAAATGTAAGTAGCCTTGAGAAAATCTAGTTAAAAAATCTTTTAAAAGTTGTCATTATTCACTGAAAATTGCGCGAAATCTACTGTTTTCAAAATAACTTGCAAACATACAAAGATGTAACTTTGAAGATATGTTTTTTTATCAACTGTTTAAAACAGAAGAAGCTAGTGGTACTTAAATAGCACGTACTTTCTCCCCCGTATTTTCATGCAAAATTACGCGAAAAGTGCTCAAGGTATCGAAAAATTGTACATGACTTCGAAAAAATATTGAACCAGCAATTTTCGAAAAATCCATTTTACCATTATTTAAATGGGTGCATTCACTATAAAGTCGTTGTGCTTTGGGTCTTCATTAACACCTCGAAATTTCAATTTTTCATTAAAACCACTAAATTAAATTGGCACTGAAATATAGCCTAATATAAACATGTTTTTCTCAGAATTTACAAAATATCATTTATACTCTTGTGGTTTTCACCCATTCATTTGTTCTAATTTTACTGGTTTATAAGTCTACAATAGCGTTAGCCTCACATTTCGTTCTCTTTTTAATTTTCAAGTCCTTCATCTACTTTTCTATACATAATGAACACTATAGCATACTCTACTGCACATTTTTCAAACTCTCACGAAACTGCAGTGCATACTTCCCTACAACATTCTGTGATCATCAACAATCCAATATTCAGTTTACTTGTTGAAATCAACTTTATTTTAATTTCACAATTATTTTAAACGTATAATGAGTTTTACGTATTATTGATTCATTTTATTCTCTGAACTTATATTGTTCTTAACAGATAATAGTACTAGGCGTAAATATTATAAATTGTACAGTCCACATTCCTCATGACCTCAACAAATGGCAGTTAATAGACACGCCATGATCCAAGGCTATCTAATATTGTGGAAATTAATATTGATATATTAATTAGTTGCAAGCTATTCGTTTCCTGTCCGTTGACAGTGTTAGCTACTAGGTCGAACCATTCTCTTTCGTATTGGAAGTTGGAATTTTTGTATTAATGAACTAATAAAAGAAGGACTTTCCTCAGAGTAAAATAAGTTAATTTATTTTCTTAACATACTAGTATTTATTCAAACCAATCATCTCGTTCAGTAACAAAAGTTTTCATTTCGGTACTTCCGCGAACCTCCCCAGAATGAAGTCTCGACATCCAAAAGATGTGTTACATCCTCTATAATTAAAATAATAAAAATATAACAATGAATGTTTTAAATATATATTTACATAATATATAGCTATTTGTTGACTGCATATGCAGGTAGTAAACACCGCCTTCTAAAATTATGAATTGCGAATCTTCCTGAGAAAGTTCTACTACCGGCAGTGAGTTGCAGCACCTCGCATTTTCCTTCATCTGATCTAACATAATCCCTGAGAATACCCTACAAGAAACTCTACTCCCAGGTCTGTGCTCCCAGGGCCTCGAATCAGGCGTGTCCATCTCGGAGGCAGGCCACTGGGCATTGTTGCTGGCGAGAGGGCCACGCACGGGCTAGGCCAAGGGGATGGACAAGACTGGCGAGTGACCAGGGAAGCAACGGCAGAGCAATAGGAACTGGGTAGACGGCGGCGGCACCTTCAGTCCACGCTTATCTCCTACCTCCCCTCCCCAAAAGTTCAGACTTGGCTTGACGACTCGGCGGTAAGAAAGCGCGGCCAAGATGGCCGGCCGTCTTCGCCGTCGGCCAAGGCCTTCGCGGGCGTCTCCTCTGTGGCTTGCCGACGGGTCTTTTTCCGGCGCCGTGCACTCCAATGCGCGCCTCAAAGCCGGGGAGGATGTTTTGTGCCGGCCGGTCTCCCGCGCCGCCGCGTTTTTCAATGGAGTCGCCCGCGGCCGCCGCCGCCGCTGCTGCTGCAGCTCGGCCGCCACTCTCCCTTGAAAGGGCCGCGGGACGGAGTCTCTTCGTCAGGTAGATCAGTAGTTCATTATTCCCTGCCCGCGGCCCGCAGCTGGGAGTGGGGATAATCCTCGAGCGCCCTGCGCGCTGTACTCGCCCCTCTCCCCTCCTCCTCCTTCTCCTCCTCCCCCCTCTCGCGCTCTCGCTGCCACCGCGACCGCCCAGTGGGCCGAAATGATGCCAAAGCGAGGTGCCATGAATTTCGTCCATTACAGCTATGTAAATACCCTTTTTATTTGGTTTTGCCAACACAAACACAATTTTACACTGTAATAATTTTTTGAAAAATCATTATAGGGTTTTCTGTATAGGATTTTTTTAAATGAAATTTTAAAAAAGTTGTATTTTTAACTATTTTTTCATAATTTGTTTTTTTTACCCAACTAACTTTTCACTATTTAAAAAAGGAATTTTATAAATTTTACTACCACTAGGAATTTTAAAAAAATATTACAGATGATAATTGTATTTTACTGCTAATACAACTTTCACGCATTGCATTAGATAAATTTGGGCAAGTCTTCTTTCTAACAATCTAATTAAAACTATTGGAGATGTGTTCAATTTGAGCATACGTGCAATATTTCTCTTAAGTTTTTATCACTTGTAAAAATGGTAATAGAGCCGCCAAGACGCTAAATTTCCTCACTCTTGAATAAATTATGTTGTGGAGATTACTTATGCTCCAAGAAATAGAGGAATAGGAAATTTTATTTTCCTCAATTTTTCCATTAGTAACTTTTAAGTGAGAAATACTTCCTATCAGTTGACTCTTCAAGATTATTTTACAATAAATAAAAGGGAGTTCTTGCGTTGCAGTGACTTATTTTTTGGTACCTATATATTGAATAGCAACGTATTTGACCTTATTTTTTAACTTCTTAAAGTTGTGCAGAAAATAAAAATTCGCAATCACGAAGAAAAAATTAACATATTACGTCTATTTTCTCAAGAAACACGTGTAACACATTTTTCATGCGACAAAATGATGGCGAATTATTCCACCAAATAATGTTGAGATACATTTAAATCTTGGTCGTGAACGATATAAGATATAAGATTATTTTATTCTCTGACTAGAGAAATAATTTATTCTCTGATTTGATCATCACAGTGTTCGAAGCTAAGCTAAGTTCGAGATGTGAAAGCATTCGAGCGCTGTGCGTGTCTGTGACACACATACAGAGAGACAAAGAGAAAGAGAGAGAGAGAGAGTAGACAGTGAGTGAGTTAGAGAGATGGAGTAAGACTGAGTGAGTGAGTGAGTTAGATAGATGGAGTAAGAGAGAGTTAGATAGATGAAGTAAGAGAGAGTGAGTTAGAGAGATGGAGTAAGAGAGAGTGAGTTAGAGAGATGGAGTAAGAGAGAGAGGGAGGGAGGGAGGCGAGGGAGGGAGGGAGGGAGACGTAGGAAGAGTGTCTGGCTGTGGTAAAGATTTTTAGTTTACTGTGTTTGTATTGTTTTTGTTTCTTATATGCTTTTATATAATTTTTATCTTGATTATTTTATTTATTTACGTTTTCTATTCGGCCCACACACGTTCCCTTTCGACACACTGTGTGCATGGGGTCTGCCCTCGGCAGCGCACCGCCTTACTCTTCTCCACCACCACCACTACCACAAAGGGGGCGTGCAGCCTCTGCTATGTCGCCGGCCACTGCGCGGTCTCCTTCCACCGCGTCGCAGCCCGCCCGCGCGCCCGCGCCCTTTCAGAGGACATTGACAAATTTGGCATCTCGGCGCTGGCTGTATAAGCTTTCCGAGCGCGTCTGTTGTTACACACTACAATGGCGCGAGCGAGCGGCAGGAGGAAGCAGGAGGGGCGGGCGGGGGGAAGGGGGCCCCGCGGGCGGTTTTCCGCCCCCGTGCATTACCCTTTTCCTCCTCCCCGAGGTACATTTAGCTTTTAGCTCGGGGGTAGATGCAGCCGTTACGCGGGCGTTGATTAGGGCGCGTCGACAATGGGCACGTCACAGCTGGCAACCTCACCAGGCGCCGCTAGTGCCTGCGGCGCGGGCTGCGGCGGTGATTGGAGGCGGCGGAGCTGTAGGGATGGCAGTGCGGCGGCAGCCGCAGGCGGCTGGACGAATGCCGGTGGGCGGTGGCGGTGGCGGCGCAGGCGGCGGCGTTAGTATGCTGGGGGCAGGAAGGGGGCGGTACAGTTCCGCCCACTCGCACATTGCCCAGTAGGTGGCATTTGATGACTTGTTTAGATCGACCCGCTGATACCGGTAATTTAGTTTTAACTGAAGAGCGTCCGGCTACCTTTTGACGGCGAAATTGCGGTTAGGGTTGGGGAGTCACGACCATGTGAGTGAAATGGCTAACGTTTGCTTGGGCAGAGGACACGTGTTTAATAATTGTGTGACACGCTGCATTAACGATTGATGCAAAATTACTTTGCAGCGAGACTACTTGCACTGAAGGTCTCGCCGAAAATGTTAAGGATAGGAATTTAGGATAGGAACTATATAAAAGTTAATTTAGCACAAAGGAGTTTAAAAAACCCATTAACCGCATTCATGTTGAAAATAACTAATTTGTCATTAGAAAAGATGTTACAAAATATTGTAGTGGTCTTGTTTTCGTTAACATTTTCAATTATTATAGTGTTTGCATGAAATTGCCTTTGAGGCGTTGTGTCTGGTTTTAATCACATTACTTAATCTGAATTTTGACCTTAGAGAGAACTAAAGTGACTAAGCTTTGACATTTGTTTAAAAAGCGTTTACAAGAAATTTGGCAATAAAACACACTCGTACTAAGACAGAAGACCACACAATGTTGTTCGATAGAGTGATTGAGGAAAATGTTTTCCTTACTCTTACTCTCAAATTACAAATGTGTATGAACCTTTGAAAAATTGTTAATCTTTCCAAAAATATGAAAAAAATAGAGTTTTGCGAAGTGTACCTACAGTGTAACAGACGAATTCGGGGCAATAACCTGAAGGAACTATCAAATCTTCTCCTTGAGCTAATTTATGCTAATAAATCGCCAAAACTTCTAAATTGACCGAAAAGTGTTCAAAATCTTCGAAAACTCCCGATTGTACGAAAACAATCACAAGTTAGGTTTGACCCCTCCCTAAAATGTTTCAAAAATTACTTGAAAAGTGAATAAGGGGTCTACAAATTGGAGGGGCCATGCTTATGGTAATCACTTACTACTCTCGTCTCTCCAGACATACTCCTGCTGTCTTCTGTGACACGATGTCTTCTAACAGCTTTCAAGTACTCAACGTACTGTGTCAAGCAGGTGGTTAGGTTTTTCCTACCAACACAATTCCTGTCTGAACATTAGCCAAAGCCTAAACAATTCAATTATCATTCATCTCTCAATATCGCCATACCATATTTCATATGGTGAAAGGTGAAGATAAACCATTACTATGATCTCTTATTTAGGGCAGGGAGGAGATGAAGGCGGAAACTTCATCCATCGCCTAATACCAAATCACTCAATCACTCAACTAAACGCATTAATAAATGGGGCACCCATCTTCGTCTGACATGCTACCAATGTCTTAACTAGGATATGTCTATTCACAACAGCAGCTAAAGGCATTACACATTACCACCAACCCGTCACGTGAATATTCAGAACTATATGATTATTATATTTCAGAAAATGATGGATGATGTAATAGTAAAAACCCTCCTTTTTTAGCTTACAAAACTTGATCCAGCGTAAGACAGTAAACCGTTCGTCGTAAGATACACTGAAGAATTACAATCGCATTAAATTGGACGCATCAATCGACAATGTAATATGCGGTTGGGCAAACCAAGAAAATTGTCTCGTTATAAATAATACATATAAAACCTATAATATTTTTCGTATTGCATTAAAAAGTTCAAAATCGGAAATTAAAAAACTTATATCTTTCTCTCTATTTCTCTAATATCACCAGCTCAAAATTAATTAATATCCCCTCACTGATGTTTTACCCTCGTTATAAAAATAAATAAACGTATTTTTTGAAATACAACCATAGAAACATTCGGTTGGTTCGATATATCGGTTGGAATGGTTCGATATATCGAACGATTATCATTTTATCAATAATTTCCAAACTATTAATAATACTTAGTGTAACTATTTACCCAAGACGTACATGAATAAATTCAATCAGTTATCTGTAAGTTTTCAATGATGGAAAGACCAGTAATTGTATAAAGTTTCTTTTCTTGGATATCAACTCATGGCCAACGAGACACAATTGTAGAATGTAATAGTATATAATCAGAACGCTTATTGATTAATGATCATAGTGTCTCTTTCCACACGACAATGCCGGTAGTCGTAAATTTCACTGACTGAGAAATTGGATATTTTACCAGTTTGAGATCGATTGAAAGACTTCTAGGGTTGATGAAAAGTTACATTTGATGGTGTATACTTTCCACTTCCTAATTTTTACATAATTTTTAAAGGTTATTTTCTCTTGCCTCAGCATTCTACAAACATTAGATGGTTCAGATTGTTAATTTCTGCTGCATTATCACATAGAGCACTCAATGATTCTAAATTGAGAAAATGTATTATTAATTGTCCGAGTCCAGCCGCCCCAGCGCCACCACGCCCAGCGCCACAC